GGGGGGAGAGGCGAGGAAGCAAATTCATATATATATATATATGTAAATGCACAATGCTGAGCACTAGAACCAAATTAGCAGGTCACATGTTAAGATGCCCTGATGATGATCCTTTGAGGCAAGTTAGTTCCCAACCAGGCAGTGCTCAACCTTACGAAGTTGGTAGAAGAGTCGGACAACCCCGTCAGCACCGCTCACATAATGCGAGTTCGGATATGTTCAGTTGTTTATCCAGTTGCCAATATGTAGCCAGCAGCCAACAGAATGACTTGATACTACGTGGCGCAAGACTCAGGTTGTTTTGAACAGCCATCAGTCAACCCTTCAAAGCGCCGAAGCTTGTCAAGCAAGTGTTGCCGGACAAGATGCACAAGGCTGTTGAACAGATGCGCACATAGTTATGTAATTATTTCCAGATGTATGTATGTATGTATGTATGTATGTAGGTCGAAAAGCAAGTAGATAGATAGATAGATATATAGATTGATACACAGTTCTGTGAATTCATTCATCATTCCTATATTCATTCATCTTGCTGTAGTTTGATGCAGTACATAAGCCTTTGGTGTGTATTTCCACATAGTTGTGTGTGTACACGCAAGATAGATAGAGAACGAACTGTGTACATACATATTTGTAGTTATATCGATCTTATCCATACATACACTATATACGGACACACATATATATATATATGTATGCTAGCCCCCACCCCAATTGACCAACTCTGAATACTAACACTTTCACTGACTCACGAATGTGAATACTCACAATAGTACTACCAGTAAAGCTACTATTCGTATTAATATTAGTAATATATTAGTGCTAATACGAGCATTAAGAGCAAAACTAATTCTAGCGTGAATACGAAGGACCCTACGGTTACTTACAATCGTATTCTTATTGGCAATATTCATTAATATCCATAAACCATATGCATACTAATGCCTGTACCACTGCGGGTACATACAATAATGCATGTACTACTCCTGCGAGTGACGATATTCCTACTCTTAACAAAAGCTTCGCACTCGTATTACTGTTAGTATGTATATTAAGGTTAGCATTAGTTCTTACTAACATTTTTCCAGACTGATATTACTCCTACGAATAAACATTTTCGTAATCATATCAATATTATTCTTAATACTAAAATTAAAAATAAATACTTACACGGATACTGGGTTTAATGAATACTGATACTCTCACGATTACTTATACTCATACGAATGTTAATAGTAAATATTATAAATGTTTGTGTGCCTACAAATACTAGTAACCCTTTTCATATTACCAGAAATATGAATGCCAATATGCATACTGATGCTAATACTATTTTCTTAATACTTTTATCAAAAACAAAAAGTACTGTTAGCACTCAAACCAATATACATACTAATGCTGATATCAACGGAAATACATGCATTAATGTAAGTACTACTCCTGTGAATACTAATACTCATGTTCTTATTCTGCATAATACAAATGCATGTGTATTCATATTCATACTAGTACTAATTCTTACTAACATATATTCGTATTCATATCCGTTATTAATTTTAGCTCTAGTTTTAATATTCTTTAAAATATTGATATTGATTTTTTTCAATACTAATACTCTCACGTATACTTAGACTCACAGTAATGTTAATACTAGGAATAATTGTGCTCGTACGAAAACTACCAATGATATTCATATTTCCCGAAATATTAATACCTATATACATACTGATACAAATATTACTACCAATCCTTTTGGCAAAATAAGAAGTGAAAACCTTCCTACATGTATTAATACTCAAATTTTGGTTTTCGATTCTTACTACTTATGACAATGTTAACTGTTTTTCAATACTGACATTAACACTGACATTAACACAGATAAAAAGCTAATACAATAATCCGAATCATATTCATATAAATATTAATCATATATACATAATATTTGAAAATACATTCATACACATACTACTGCATACGAATATACATCTTACTGGAATGAAATACCACCTCGTGAGCTTAACGATGTACTAAAGAATCAGTATTTTCATGCACAAATGTACCGATATACCACTATACTAACTATACCAATATACTAATGTATACGTGGCATATTCATATATAGTATGTACTCGCAAGGGGGAAGGAAGCAAATTTGAGTATGCTATACGCCTGCCGCGTAAATACAGAAGATATGTCACAAAACAATAACGAAAACTACGTAAATTACAGCCAAAGCCAAAGAAACCAAAAGTTTTACAGACCACGTACGGCACTAACCAAAAAGAACAAGAAAACCAATAAACACAAAAAAAAAAAAAACTACAAAACCAAAATTGACAGAACTATGTTCCGGACCATAGTGTCCTAGATGTTTCTTTTTGTTTTGGCTTTTTGGGTTTCTTTGGTCACGACATTCAGGAACATAGGCCTAGAACTATGTTCCGGACCATAGTGTCCTGTTTTCTTTTGTTTTTTGTTTTTTTTTGGGTTTGTTTTTAGTTTTTTGGTTTTCTTGTTTTTTGGTTTCTTTGGTCGCGACATTCGGGAACATTGGCCTGGACATTTGTTTTTTTGGTTTTTGGTTGAGCACACAAATCGAAATCCAACTTTGTTACGCTTTTGATGTAGTTTTGTGATCTCTACTGATTGGTGTTGTTATGAATTTGCTTCCTCGCCTCTCCCCCCCTGCAATCACAATATTATGGAGGTTGGTCAATAGGGGGGGGGNNACACAACTATATGATGTAGAGAGAGAGAGAGGGAGCTACAGAGGGTGCCAATGTATATATATATATATACAGATACACAACTATATGATGTAGAGAGAGATGGAGGGAGCTACAGAGGCAGCCAGAGAAAGACAGAGAGGGAGAGTGCGAGCGAGCGAGCGAGGGGGGGGCGGGGGGGGCTAAACCCTAAACCCTGCACCGAGCATTGACAGCTTAACTCCAGCATGGAGGCCTCGCACACGAAGCGATGGCAGCCCCGAAGGCTGCCGATGAAGCGTGGAGGGAAGAGAGTGCCTTAGGTGCAACTGGCATTGTTTTATAGAGGCTTTTGCAGGGTTCTATATTCTATAAAGGGTCTTGGCGGCTTCTTTGAGGAATATACAAGTTCTGTACATTATGTAGGGCTTCTCCAATATCGACTATTTCAGGGCTCTTCAATGAGGGTCCTACTCTACTTTAACGTTGAAGGGGGAATCTAGGGCTCAGACATGCGACCAAGCTGCCTCGGGCCATCGACGCACCTGAATCTCCGACAAATTCAGCACAGCAAACATCCGAAACCCTAAACCACGCAGTACAGCAGAGTATAGTGTAATATAGTGTAGCACAAGATAATGTAGTACAATATAACCGAACACCCTAATAAAGCCCGAAGTCTCCAAAACCCCGTCCAAGGGGACGAGCAAGTCGAAGGGTTGGGTTTAGGGTTAGGGTTTAGGGGGTGCCCTGAACTTATCCCCATGCCAAGACATGGCCACGGATAGGAAAGTTTAGGTCTTCGGCTCTGTCCTGCAACCGCCGTAGGACTCCACTTAAGGACTGCAACCTACTGCACTATAATTTGGATTTCAGGGTAGGGTGCGTAGCCTAGCATGGCGTAACAGAATCAGAACGGCGAGGCAACATGGTGGAACTTCCTGCGATCCTCTAAGCTCGCACGTAACCCGACATGACTCAGTTTCACGACGACAAACGTCCCTGAACCGATCAAGTCAACACCCCGAACTCCCAAAGTTCTCCACACCAGGAGAACAAGGATTAGGGTTGGGGGGTTTGGGTTAGGATCAAAGTATTGTTCTTGCCATTTTGAATAGCCTTAGCGTCATCATTTTTCGCATGGTTATCATCATAACCAATATTAGTCTTGTTACCTTATAAAGAACCCTAAAGTAGGGGCCCTATACCCTGAAACTATGAATCCCTATGTGGTACATGAACCCTAAACCGCGCAACGGTCGCTCACCTTTGATGCTAGCTGGGTCCTCAGGTTGCAAGCAGCTTTGGTTTTCCTGCTGCTAAAACTTTCTCCTCTCCACCTTCACCCATGCAGAATATGGGTAGTTCTCCAAATTGGGGGTCCATTTTAGGGTACTTTTTGAAAGGACCGTAATTGAGAGAACTACCTTAAGCATTAGAATTGGGTTTTGGGGCATAATATTCTAGACTTATGGTGAGGAGCCCCAGAATACTGTTGGTAACTGTTTGGGCCCCTATAGTACCCTGTTTCTCGTTTCTCTAGAAGAAGACGAGGAGAGCCTCCTCCCAGGCTCCCAGGAGGTTCATCTGGCTGACGACGTTCGTCTGCAGAGCAGCCACACGCATCGCGGCATGCGCCTGAGGACAAGTTGAATTCGGGCTCAACATCTATAAAGCTTAGGCCTTAAACCCCGAGCCCTAAACCACTATAACTCCTGAAAAGCCCCAGATCCAAACAACCCCCCGCCCCTTCTTCAAGCGAGTGCCCTGCCTGGACCGCCGCCAGCCAACCGCTTCCTCTCGTGCAGCTACCCATCACTGTGTTGCCTGCAGTATGCGTAGGCGTGGCCCAGAAGGGTTACCCACACTTGTACTTGTACATGCTGTTTATGAAGGAGTCTGGAACTATGTCGCATGAAGACGGCGCTCCCAATGCTAAGCACCATCAACCTCCTTAGACTTAGAATTTACAGGCTTATGGCTAAAAGCTAAGATGAGGATTGCACCTACCTGACCCTTGGCAAGATCGAGAGCGACTTTCCCATGCTTGTAGCTTTCGGTTCATGCCAAAGTTGGGAAAACCCCCTGAGCTCTGATCCATGTAGCGAAACACATCACTCCGTTCCCGAGCAGCCTTCTTCCTAAACCCAAAACGTCATGCACCCTACATACAGAAAGGGAGTGTCATTTCCGAGTTCAACCTTAGCCCACGCCCCATACCCCCCCACTACGCTTTTACACCATTTCTTGGGGGTGATGATCGTGCACAAG